AGTTGTATAGTTCAAGAAATATGAATTTCATTAGTTTCTCAAGCCAAATAATGTTACATAAATGCTCTCATTTCTCTCATGAGCCTATGGATTTATAAGGATAGATTATTATTTTTCTTTCCAGGAAAATGAAGATTTCATGATTGCTTTAATCAGTTGCTTCTATGCAAATTGTAGGGCCTGGGATTTAAAGCCAAAACAAATTAGATACCTGTATAATCATAGATATATTTGGCACATAACAGCCAAAACATTCCTGGAAACTAACACACACTTTCCAGCGAGATACCTATTTTCCCACCATGTGTGATTTCATTCCGTATTTAGGTATTATTAATGTTTTGAGATATATAAAATGCATTTCTTATAGATATGTCATATGGAGAGACAGTTATTTAAGACAGAGTTGAATTATGAGCCCACATCCGCCAGTAAACTCTTGACTTTAGGTCTCTTACTTCTCTAGCCCTTCACTTCCTTATCTGTAAAATGGGAATAGCAGCAGTACCCACTTCCCAGAATTGTAGTATATGTGAAATTAAGAAATACAATAAAGTGTTTAGCACAATCCTACTACACAAAAAAATGTTTACTAAATCTCATCAGCATTACCATTACCATCCATTTTTAAAAATCAAACTTTATGGAGGTCTAATTTGCTCCCAATAAAATGCCCCTGTGAGTTCTGACAAATGTGATGCCTGTGTAACTATCACCATAATCAAGATACAGAACATTTGCATCAACCCCAAATCATTATTTTAAGATAGGAATACTGGTATCTAGTAATAATACAAAGGAGAAGTCACTGTGTAAACCAACATATGGTACCGACCATAAAAAAGAATGAATAAGTGCTAGCTAGAATTATAAAACCATGGGGATGCAACAGAAGGAACATTCTTTTGGAGGGGGCTGGGGGACAGGGCCTGTGTACTGCACATTATTGCTTGTGCTCTTCAGTAGCACTGTGAACAGCACTTTGCTTATCCTTTGAGGAAATCCCAACTCCCCAGTGCTTTATGTGTTTGGAGTGAGGCTGTTTTATCCTTGGCTCTGATCTTGTCATTTCTTCTGGAATTCTTAGAAAGAAAACTCTCTTACTGTTAATATTGCTGGATGTAAATTTGGAGAAGATGAGAGGTCACCAAAGAATACAGCCATCAAAGAGGGTCATCAGGGGTGGAACAGGGTGCTTGCCCAGCATGCATGAGGCCTTGGGTTCAATCCCAAGCACTAAAAAAATACCTCCACCCTCCAAGTACCCCACCCCCCAAAACAAACAAATGAAGTTCAGCTTGAGGGATGGAGATGCTTTGTGCTGGTTTCATCACCCAATCCTCCAGAGGCTGTTCTGAAGCTAGAGCTGAACTTGGACTTAGTGACAAGAAGATCCAGGGACACTTCATCACAGATCAGTGTGATCTTGAGTGCAGGCTTGAGTGCAGGTATCAATGAGTGGGTGGCCCAGGTTCATCTCTGATTACATGGGGTGAGACACAACATCTGTGGGAGAGCTTTGCCGATGATGACATTTCTAAAAATGAAAGGTAATTGTATGGTACATGTAAAGTTAATGGGACAATTTAAGTTGGAAATGATATGGATTTAAAATACATTGATACTGAAAGCAGAACTATTTGGACTAATTATGTGTCTAATTTGAAGGAATTCAGACATTTAGGCAAAGAATTCAGGCCAAATAATGTTGCCTAACTTTTTTCCTTATTTAAAATTAAAGTGATTCCTGGACTTAACTTCTCTTCTACTTGCATGGCATAGCCATAACCTGTTGTCACAGGAGTCACTATTTCTTCCTTATTAAACATATGTCCCTCCAGTTGATGTTGAATATCTTGGAGAAACCAATTGCTGTTCTAAACTGGGGCTTTAGTACTGAAAATCCCTACCCTCATGGAAGGTTTTCCCCAGGAGAGAGATAACTGTACCCTCTGTGTGCTAATGTCTATATTCAACACTGTTGCATTTTGATTCTTTTTTTTTCTTTTAAATGTGGAATGCTTCACAAATTTCTGATAGTACTGCTGAAAGCATGGGAACTCTTTTGTGGAAATTCTGGATTAAATGCATAAGACATTTATACATTATCTACACATTTAAGAATGTCTGTGAATGGGCATATTAAATTATGTGTTGATATCATACAATCTTACTATGTAATGTGGTTCAAGTTATAATTCTGGGCCTCAATTTCTCATTTGAAAAATGGTGATTATCATCATACCAGTCTCACCTTGTAGGGATTAAGTGCATTTAAACACTTTAAAATTATACCCGACATAAACTAAGCTTAACAAATGATAGCTAATATGTATTATCAGTATATTTCCCAATATTCCTTAATGAGATAAAACAAATAATTGTGGATCTAATTTTGTTTCATTCATTTAACATTTATTGAGTCCTATACCATGTGCCAGGACCACTGTGACAGATTGTATTTTTCAGAAATGGCTATGACAGTATCTCCGGATCTTGTCATTCCCTCATCTAGAAATACACCCTAACCCCCTGCTTCGGTCTGCGTGAGTCTGACTTGCTTATAGCCAATGAATGTGTGACTTGCAAGGATAGATCATCAAAGGAGAGGCAGTTTCCCCTAGTGAGCTGTAATGTTCACACTGGAGCCCTGAGGCTGCCACATTTTGATAAAGCCTAAACTAGACTACATAGAAAGATCACATGGAGAAGCCTTGAATCTTCCTGAAGAGAGAGAGAGGCCCAGCTCATCACTGACTGCTCCAAGTCCTCTCACCATCTAACTGCAATAACAGGAGAGACCCCAAGCCCTGACACAGTCAAGCCCTCCCCAAATACCTGACACATGGAGATCATAAGAGAAAATAATTTGATTATTGTTGTCTTTTTTTTACAGAAGGCATTCTGTTTGATTTATTGTTCTTGTGAAGAAAAATCATAGCAGAAGTTTGTTTTTGTTTTTGAGTTAGCTAGATTATTGTTGTCTTAAACTATTAAGTTTTCACATGACTTGTTATGTATCAATAGATAAGGAGAACACCTACCTTTAGGTGCTCAAAATAAGTGTTAAACAGATTTACTTTCACTGAGTTCCCATTCCAGACATTTCTCATCCATAGCAAGTGAAGAATGACTATTTTCAGGATTGTGATTATCAGATAGCTGTTTGGACCTGCTATCAAGTCTAAATTTGTAGATACAATTTGCAAATATATTAGATTCATTCATTTATGCATTCAATAGATAGATCAATTAATTTATCAACATAGACCCCCTCCCCCGCAACAAGTCTTCCATCCTAACTTGTCAGGCAGCATGGTTACTGCTTGTTTTCCTCCATCTCCCCCAGAATAGAAGCAATCAAGTTTACCTGTCTCCATCTTTGTATCCCTTAGAGTCCAGGTTCATGCCTGCACATAGCAGACATTTAAAACAAAACTAACAAAAACCCCTAAAAACAAAGAAACCCAAACAGACACGTACTCAATTAACTGCAGGAAGGCTGCTAGTTACTGGACGTAGAAATACTTTATTCGAAGACAGTCCCTATCCTCCAGGAATTCACAGTTCAGCACTAGACACTCTGTGGGACCCAGCCTGGCAAGTGTGCAGTGAGTGAGCTGCCAGAATTGAGTGCTATGATAGAATAGTGGGGGCAACCGTTCAACGCACTGGGGGTGGAAGGTGAAGAGTGACAGGGAAACATTCATTCATTCATACCGCAAATGTTTATCAAGCACCGCAACACACTGAGCACATAGTAAGCCCTCAAAAATCTGTCATTAAATGACAGCTGCTGTTCTAAGTGTTGGGAGCAATAACAGATAAGAAAACTGCGGTGGCACGTGCCCTTGTGAAGCTAACCGTGTAGCAGCGAAGGACAACAGACATTGGACATAATTGTGTAAAATGGTGCTATTGCCCAGCAGGAAAATAACAGGCTGAAGAAAGTGTGATCCTTCGGCTAGGGGCAAGTCAGGGAGGGAGTGCGGGGGGAGTGCAGCCAGGGGCGGGTTTTGAGCAGTAGTGGCCGTGAGGGGGACGGACTGTAGGGGGCGGGAAGACTGCGGGCAAGAAGTGTTGGTAATTTAAAGATGCAAACATTTTCTGCTTGACTGGATGAGGAACGTGTGATGCTCTGTAAACTCCGGGTTCTCCCGAAGCAAGGGCTGTATGTAAGTACAAGCTCAGTTGCCCAGCAGAACAGGGCGAGCTGCGGTGAATGGCAGCACGAATTCCCAGATTTTTCATGCTTGGCATATCTAGGGTCCTCGGTTCCCCAGACCAACAGACGCATCAACCCCGGCTGGGATTAGGACCGCAACAAGCCACAAAGGTCCGGGGTGGCGGGGGCCCAAGAACCACAGCACTCACCCCTAGAGCTCAGAGTCTGCAACACCGGCAGGCGGGAGCGGGCGGAGCTTGCTCTGCGGACCTGGGCGGTGGCGTGGGCTCCACCCCCACCCAAGGCCCCGCCCCCATGGCGCTCTGATTGGATAAGACCCGCGGAAGGGCCGGGCGGCACCGGGCGGCCCTGGGGGACGGGCTGAGGAGGGCGCATTGATTGGTCTGGACCGGATTAGGTCATCGCTAGCAGGTTCGAACGGCCCGGACGCCGGTGGGGCGGCCCAGGCTACTGTGAGAGGGCGCTCGAGGCTGCTGGAGAGCTAGCCTGCGAAGGAGGCGGGGAGGCGGCGGCCGCGCTCACTCGCCCGCTCGCTAGCTTGTTTCTCCGTGTCGCTGCGGGTCCATCGCTGCGCTTCTTGCTCCCCTATTGCTCCACTGCACGCCGCAGGAGCAACAGCCCATCGTCCAGGTCCCAGCTGGGTTTTGGAGTCGTGCGCACCGGTGGACACCGCGCGCGGGTTGAGCCGGCGCCACACCTGTGGAGCCGGCGGCCGTCGAGGGTGCCGGCCGAGGTCCCGAGGCGAGCGTGCTCAGGGAGCCGGCCGCCCGAGCCCCGGGGGAGGCGCGACCCCTGGCTGGGCGCCGTGGGCAGCATGGGGCTCCCGGCGCTCGAGTTCAGTGACTGCTGCCTCGACAGCCCGCACTTCCGAGAGACGCTGAAGTCTCACGAAGCAGAGCTGGATAAGACCAACAAATTCATCAAGGAGCTCATCAAAGACGGGAAGTCACTCATCATCGCGCTCAAGAGTGAGTACCCCGAGCTCAGTGCGGACCGGGTCCGGCGCGGGAGGGTCCGAGGGGCGGCGCTCAGCCCTAGTCGCCCGCGCGCTGCCGGGTTTCGCCCCCGGGGCACTGGGTGGCGGGTGTCGATGCTTCCGATGCAGGAAGGATACCTAAAATGGGTTAGCAGCCACCATCAAATGAGGAAGGAGACGCATCGCCCCGCCGTTTGTGTTAGGGGATGGCCCGGTGGTGAAGAAGCGCGGGTGGTACTTTGGGACAGGGTGGGTGTGCACGGCATACAGGTGTCCCAGAGTGGTACCTGAGTGTCCAGCCTGCCGCAGCCCAATGGGAAACGAATTACGTCCACTAATGCGGCTTCCTTAGCGGAACAGTTGTTTGACTCTGGGCGCCCTGCCGTGGGAATGGAGCGTACCAAGGGGGCGCTGCCTCCCCCAGGGAAAAGGCGGGCTGTGATTGCTTCGCTCCCTATATGCGGCTTCAGCCCAGTCAGGGCCGCCGGGTTCTTTGGGTGGAGCGGTTGGTTAGCCCTGATTCCGTGGAGTACTGGCAGTAACCCCCAGATCTAGAATCAGTGACGTATACGTGTGCAGGTTCTGATTCTTGTGTTTAGCAGAAGGTGATAGGGGTGGGAGTACAGAATCAGAGTGTTCCTTTACTCCAAACTGTGGGCGTGGGTTTAAAAATAGAAGGAATACATCTCCTCCCTCCCTCCCCCCCCACCCCTCTCCCCGCTCTCTCCCTTGCTCTACTTTTTACTTCTTCTATTATCCTTGAAAACTGAAAGGCCTGAGAAGGAATGTCCTAGTCCTCCTTCAGAAAGGGGAAGTTTAAAGTGATCTCAATGGTTCTGGTACCTTTTGTAAAACCGTTTTTGCTTTTTTTTCTTCCCAGTGCAAGGGAAGGAATGAAATTTGCATTCTGCTTGATTTCTGCAGAACCACAAAGTTTATCCTTCTGGACAAATTAGAGTGCTTCAGGGATGAGCACCTTGCACTGTGAGAATGGTTTTTGGTGCCTTTCCAGTCTACCCATTTAAAAATAGTTCATTCCATCTTTTCATTTTCAGAATCAGAAACAACATGAAGGTAGATAGTGGAATTATCTTTGACTCTTTACTTTTCCTGTCTTTTCTGTGATGCATTTACTAAAAGGTGATATCTTTCAGCTAAGAAAGGTTGCCTTAGCGGGTAGGTTCCTATCTGTGAGAATTGTCCCCAGGCCTCTTTAAAGGAGACATTGGAAACTAAGTGCCTGAGATGTCATTTTGTGAGCCTATTCCTTCTAAAAATGAAGAACGAGACTATGAAATGCTAGAGCAGCAAGTGCAAATCTTTTGGGGTGAAATGAACTGTAGGACTGTGATGTGGGGAGGCTTCCCAGGGGTAGGGGTCCTCACAGGAAGCTGTGCCTTACCTGAAACATATGAACAGACATCCTCTGACAAAAACCAGGGTCATTCTTTGGTTTGCGGAACACATGACCTGTGGTTTGAAGTAAGTTAGGGGACCAGTTATAAGTTGGGCTTAGCAATTTTGATTGATCCTCTGGCTAGCTTTAATTGGTCCTCTGCTTCACTCAGTAAACGGGGAGTACCTGCTGTGTGCTAGGTACTATACTGGATGCTAAGGATATAACAGCAATATTCAGCTGTCCCATGGCTACAGAGGCTACTCCATGCCAAGCACTGCTTCACCCAAAGGTACATGAATTATCTTATGTACCTTTATTCATTTTGCAAATGAGAAAACTGGAGCTTGGGGAAGCACTGGCCCAGAGTCACACAGTGTTAGCTGGGCTAGAGCTTTTGAATCTACCTGATCTGCTGAATGCAGTGGCTCACACCTGTAATCCTAGTGGCTTGCCAGGCTGAGGCAGGAGGATCTCAAAGCCAGCCTTAGCAATTGAGCAAGGCCCTACAGGGGGGAAAAAAAAAGAAGAAAAGAAGAAGAAAAGAAAAAAAAAGAAAGAAATCTACTTGGTCTGAACCCTAAGCAAAGTTCCTGCAAAGCAAGCAGAGCTCTTGATTCCGCCCCATTCTTCCTGCCCTGAAGGGAGCACCTTGGACCAAGCTTGCTAGACTTTGGACTTGTATTTGTATTTCTGCATTGACTCTGAGAAGGGTGCATTTGGTTGACTGGCAGTTTGCCTGCTACTATTTTTGGGGAGGTCAGGAGCAAGAATTCTTCAGATAGAAAGAAACATTGCAGTAATGGAGTTCAATGGTTAAATTGCGCAATGGGATGGACCACTTTTGTAACTTTGGGGAAAGGCTGATGGGTGTTTTGGTCTCTTTACATCCATCTCTGTTACTAAGCTCCTCTAATACCACTAACTACTAATTGAATAGGGCATCGACTTCTCAAAGAAGGTGGAGTCAATAACTGTTTCCCAGATTTCTGTTATCTTGAGGTACTTGCTACATTGTACATGATAATATTTGTGTTATCTTGAGGTACTTGCTACATTGTACAGATTAGTATTTGTGTATTATTTTTCTTCAGATTGTCTTTATTACTGCTGTAAATGGAAAAACCGGTGGTTTTCCAGGATAACTAAAAACTACATATGTAATTATACTTAATTATATGAGTAACCCTTGTCTTATGGTTTTATCTTATAATGATACTTATTTTATTTTATAGTTATTTTATAACTAGTGTTTGCAGATCTTTGGGTTTAGATTCCCTTTCTATGTGAACCATAAGCAATAAAACTGCCTCTAGGGATTGCCAGAGTTCAGCTAGACCTCTGTTATGTTGCTTCTACTTTATGAATGAGGAAACTAAGGGGCAGAGAAATCAGTGACCTGGCCAAGGTGACACAGCAATTAACAATATTTAAAAACAAGTTGTGGGATTCCAAAAGCATTGACTTAACCATGATGCAACACTGTCCTCTAGATCAGCCTAGGTCAGTGCTTCTTGCACATTTGTCTGTTGAGTCCCCTTGAAAAATCTGATATAAGCTCTGGATTTCATAAAAATGAATCCCTTGGTTCTTTCTCTGGATTGCTGATTTTTGGTAGTACACAGAGAGTATAAGCGATAAAATAATTTGAGACCTGCATTTTAAAAAATTATGCCTTTGGAGAAAGTACTTGTTTGACATGGAGTTGAGTCTTGGCAACTCCCAGTCAGTTGCTTCTGATGATGATTTGTTTTTGCCTTTTCTGTGGGGACTCATTCACCCAGGACCCTTTCCTCCAACCTGTTTAATCATTATCTCATTCAGGAAGATTCTGTGTGTTTAAGTCTTGTGTTTTTTTTTTTTGTTTTGTTTTTTTTTGTTGTTGTTTTGTTTTGTTTTTTTTGTTTTTCATTCTGTAGAGATGAATGAGTTGTAGGATTTCCTGGATCAAGTTTGACCCCATTACTTACTAGTTGCTTGGCTCTGGGTCTGTTACTAAGCCGGAGTTCCTCCAGTATAAAATTTGAACAGCCACACTGACCTCTGGGGTTGTTGTGAGGACTGCATGAAACAGGGCATTTGTAGAAAGCTCTTAGCTTGGAGGCTGGCACCTGGCACTGCTCAATTGTCGGTAGTAAGAATCCTCCTCCTCCAGCACTTGGGATTGTCAAGACTTGTTTTTCAGAGCAGAAGTCATTAGGAGCAGAGGTACAGTTTTTACCTTCAGTATGAGGAGTTAGACCCACACATCCCTCATGCCAGTTGTTGGTAAATCATGTGATTATGTGTTTGTTAGCCAGTGGTGGGCAGGATCCTGGTAATGGTGTTTGTAGCAAGTTGCAGTATGCCAGAACAGCTTCATAAGTTGAAAACAAAGTAAGTAAGCCTCGCAACATCTCTTTGGTTCCTAATAACATTCTTAAATTTTCAACCTTTTTGCTAGACTCACTTTCTCCCCTCAGTGGTTGGGCTGGCTACTGCTCTCTGCCTTGCAGGAAAAGCTTGCAGACTGCATGGAACCTCATGCCTGGCTGTTTCATAGACTCAGTGACAAACCAAATATGGTTTCATAGGAATGAAAGTGAACTAGGCTATTGGTTTTGATGGGTGATATGAGTTTTCAGGAACTGTTTCTTCTCTTCTAGATTGTTAATTTCTAAATTTGGTGTTATACACCATGTATCTATGCTGGGGATATACTCCTTTAAATTTATTGAGATTGCGTGTACTTATTCTGATAGTCCAAGTGGGTGGGAGGGTGACAAATGCAGATGTTAAAATATCAACTTTATTTCATTACCATGCAGCTCACCCATTTAAACCATCCAATTCAATAGTTTTTAGTACATTCATGGAGATGTATAATCATCATAATCAATTTTAGAACAATTTTAGAGCATCACCCCCAAAAGAAAGCAGCTCTTTCCCATTAGCATTCATTCCCTAATTCCTCCTAACCTTGCAGCTCTCATCAGTCACTAATGTATTTTCTGTCTCTATAGATTTGCCTTCTAGACATTCGAAATACAGTGTTAATCATTTTTTCCCCTAGGTGATGGTGACCAATTTAGGCACAGAGTTCTTGATTTGAATTTCACATTGGAAAACTTAGAATCAAGAAGCTATTCTCAGCTGGGCACAGTGGGGCACACCTGTAATCCCAGCAGCTCAGGCGGCTGAGGCAGGAGGATTATGAGTTCAAAGCCAGCCTCAGCAAAAGCAAGGCACTAAGCAACTCAGTGAGATCCTGTCTCTAAATAAAATACAAAATAGGGCTGGGGATGTGGCTCAGTGGCCAAGTTAAATCCCAGGTACCAAAAAAAAAGCTGTTCTTCACATGGGAGGGAGTTAAATTGAGGAACCAAAGATAGTGTCTTAGGGTCTGGAGAAACCTGGATGCACTTTCATGTTTTCAGCTCATGAAAGGGGAATGGATTCATTCTAGTTCATGGTACTTGAATGGATGCAGAGGGAATAACCAAAACAAGACCAAGAATCTAGCCTCTTCCCTCTGAGTTTTCAGCCATGTTGGGGCAGGATATATGATACTGAATAAAGCCATACTTTGTGGTTGCTATCCTGCTGGGTGATACTTT